CGAACTGGCAGGGGCCGGAGGAGCGCGGTCCCTGGGCGGGCAGCGGCGGGGAGCCGAGCGAAGGAGCGCGGGGCCCACCAGGGAGCAGGTAGAGGAGGCGGAAGGCGCCTCTCCGAGCTTTCCGCTTCCTGCGACGACCAGCAGGTGTCGCCATGGCCCCGCGAAGGCGGCGGGAGCGCCGGGCCTCAGAGGCGCCTCCTTCTCTCCTTCCCCAGCATCTCCCGAGTTAGACTTGGTCCTGCGAAGATGACACTCCGGTCCGAGCCTTGAGGCGCTCGCCGTGGCACCAAAGCCCGATGGCGGAGGCCTGCGCAGAGTGAGCCGGGCCGCCGCCTGCGGACACACGGGCTGCCTCCTGAGGCCTGGGAGCGAGACTGACTCTGGTGTTCCTGACACCCAGATTTCTGCATATTAAGGATGTTTAATCCGATGCTGCAAGGACTCCTGGGAGATAGCCTGTTTTAGTCCACAAGGGCCTCGGTCCTGCAGAGGAACTAAGCCAGGTCCTTACTTGCCGAGGATCTGGAAGTTGGCGCATCGAGCTCTGCTCAGGACAGAGGCCCCCTCGCTGGGACCGTCCAGCTTGGAGACCTGCAGGCTTCCTGAGCCCCTTCTCTTCCTAGGGCCCAGCGGGGCTCCCGAGGGGTCGGATGCTTCCCCTCCAAGCTAGTGGCTTGGGTTTCAGAGCATCAGAAGGGAAGTCGTTACCCCCCACCCGGTGTCAGCTCTCCAAGGAGCCCCCGTGGCTGAAAGGCTGCGGGAGCCGCCCTGAGCATGCGGAGCGAAGGCCAGCGAAGAAATTGCACAGCCAGGCCCAGGCGTCAGGAAAACAACAACGACTGGTATTTAGTAAGCGCTTACTGCATGCCACGCACTGTTGTGAGCACATTACCTGGAATTCCTTAATCCTCATAAAGACTTTATCAGGGAATAACATCACTGCTGTACAGATGAGGGGGAGTGAGGCACAGAGATCTTAAGCCTCTCTGCGACTCAGTTTCCTGAAAATCCGACAGTTTTGAAGGAAAGTGCTCTAAAGACCCCATGTGCAGGGAGTTCACTGACCTGTGGATCCGGAGGGAAGACCCCCACCCCCCACCGTGTTAGCCAGAAATTATTTTACTGAAATAGAAGGCAATTTCACGGTGAGTAAGTGGCAAAGTGGAAGGGTGAGACCAGGAAAATGTTGTTTGGGGTGTTTTTTTTTTTTTTTTTGTATACACGGCGGTGGGACGAGAGCATTAGAAAAAATTGCCCTCGAGCCTGGGGGAAGCTTCCCAGCAACTGCCCGCGCATTTTTCTCTCCAATCGCCTCCTGGTGGAGACGGCGCGCAGTGCCGCCGCCTTGGCAAATCCTGGGAGGTCAGCCCAGGCCGGGATTTCTCACCCCGTGGATGGAAAGCCTCCCGGTGTGGGCAAGAGGCAGCTTGACCACTAGACACGAAGCTGGAAGGGATAGTCCTTGAGTGACTGTCCCGACCGGTGGCCCCCGACAGGCGGGCACGGGGGTGTGTGCGCCGTGTGCTGGAGGCGAGGTTGGGCAGAGATGGAACTGAAGGCGCTGGTCCGCGGCGGTCCGAAGCTCCACCACAGTCCCGCAGTGCGAACCGAGTGAGCCGTTCTGTCCCCGGAGAGAAGAGGCCGTGGCACAAGCCTGGGTCTCAAGTCGGCCCCGCGCAGGCCAGGGCGGCCCTGCAGTCCCTTCCTTCCAGGCGGGGAGGCCTGGTTCCACAGGGATGGCCTCTGAGGCCCCAGGGGGATTGAGCTCATCAGACACCTTCCAGCGCGGGCCGGGGGGGTGGGGGGGGGGGGGCGGGGGGGGGGAACAGCCGGCAGAGGGCAGGCTGTGGGTGTCAGGCCTCCGGCAGAGCGGCCTCTGCAGGGAGAGCTCAGCCTGCCTGCACAGCTGCCCCAGGCCCCTGAGCCCCCCACGGCCCGGGTGGGTAGGCAAATAAGCTGCTGGGTACATGGCTCCTGGAGAATGATGGACTCCCACCAGCCAGGGTGCAGGAACCTTCAAGGTTATTGTTACAGAAGAGCCCACCCCCCCCCAGCTCCAAGGCAAGGACGCTTGGAGGCTCCCTGGCCCCACGACCCTCTCCCACGATGCGGGGTGGACAGTGCCGTCGCTCCCCGTCAACCAGGGGTCAGGGGGGTCAACCACCGACACACTGACAGCCATCTGTACCCGCTCGCCATTCTGTTCTTCACTCTCATTGCGTGAGATAACCAACACTTTCTTACAAAATAGGCTTTTGCCCAACTGCAGGCTCACGCCCGGGTTCTGAGCACGTTTACAGGAGGCTAAACTATGGTGTTCCATAGGTTCGCTGTAGTAAATGCATTTCCAACTTACAGGATTTTCACCGTACAGTGGGTTTATCAGGATGTGACCCCACTGCAGGTCGAGGATCAGCTGCCGACGAGTAGGTCTGGGAGAGAAAAGACGGAGGAAAGAGAATGCGGCAGGTTCAGGTCAGAGGTAGGAGGGAGCCTCAGAGAGGGAGGCCGGGGCTCAGCGGCCAGGTCACCAGCAACCAAGCCGCGCTGCTCGGGTCTGATCCTAGCTCTTCCACTGACGGGCCTGGCCTTCGGCCTTCTGAGCCTCCGTTCCTCATCTGCAGAAGGGGGCTCTTCACGCCCCTCATAGGGCTGTGGAAGGATTCGATGAATTCGCGTATCTGAGTCACTCAGCATAGCGGCTGGCTTGCGGTGAATGCTCGGTAAGCGCCGGTTAGTACCGGGGATCCTTGAACAATGAGGGGTGTGGGGAGGCTGGTTAGGGGCGCCGACCTACCTCCCCGCACCCCCGCACTGCTGAAAATCTGAGCAGACTCTGGATTCCGCGAAAACTCAACTACTAATAGCCTGCTGTTGACCTGAAGCTTTAGTGAAAACATAAACTGTCAAGGAACGCACAGTTTGTATGTTCTATGTACTATATACTGTATTCTTACAAGAAAGCAGCTAGAGAAAAGAAAATGTTATTAAGAAAATCATACAAGAGGGGCGCCTGGGTGGCTCAGTCAGTTAAGCGTCTGCCTTCGGCTCAGGTCATGATCCCGGGGTCCTGGGATCTAGCCCCGCATTGGGGTACCTTCTCAGCGGGAAGCCTGCTTCTCCTTCTCCCACTCCTCCTGCTTGTGTTCCCTCTCTCGCTGTGTCTCTATCAAATAAATAAATAAATCTTAAAAAAAAATCATACGAGAAAAATACGTTTTCAGTACTGTATTTATTTAAAAAACCAACAAAACCCTGTGACAAGTGGACCCGCGCCGTTCAAACTCATGTTGGTCAAGGGTCAACAGTATTAGTTTTCCTTCGAAGTGAAAACTTAGAGCACTAGTGACTATGAGCAGGGAGGGCCCACGGGACATGCAGCCTAATCATTTCTCCTACAGGTGAGGGAACAGCTGCTCTCCTGCTAGCACCTGGGCCTGGTGCCCAGCACCCGCCAGCTCCGTTCGCTGCCAGGTTGCGGCCAAGTCAGGACTGCGCTCCCAGGAATCTGGGTCTTACCGTAGTGCAGCTCCTGGGGAGGGGAGAGCACCGTGGCCTGTCTGGGCCTCAGCTGGGGGGCCAGGCACAGGCCATCCGACCCCACGGAGCTGAACAATGGCACAAAGGCGACTGCTCCTGTCACTAGCAAGTCTGGGGTGCTTTTCGGGGACAGGCGGATCTGGGGCCAGAAATGACACGCTGTCTCTCTTCTGTGCTTCCTCGGATGGGCTTGGTTCCCAGCTAGGCTCTCCTCATGGAGGGTAAGGGCAGCCACCAGCAACCACAAGCCTCCGTTGCCTTCCTCTTTTAGAATGTGGGTTTATTATTCAGATAAGGTGAGGCCAACCCATCGGGAGGCAACTGCCATTGAAAAGATCAGTTGTTACTCACGTTTCCCTAGAGAAGGCTCACCGCCTCCAGCAGGGCCGTGCAGGTGAGGAAGCCGAGGGGGCAGGAAGAAAACCAGGGCAGGAGCCTTTACTATGGTTTTTGTGGGAATGGATGAGCCAGGTAAGCAGGCTAAGCAGTTTAGGATTGGATGTTTTGAATCATTTCAGTGGACCCTGGGGTGATTAGGGCAGAGAGAGAGCCCAGCAAAGGAGGGGGTTGGGGGCGTGGGCTATGGATTGGTTAGTTTGCATCTGAAAGGCTTGCTGGCAGGAGAACCGTTTGCTGTTTCTAGGAACCAGCTAGCCCTGCGAGGGGCAGTCTTGCCAGGGTCAGCAAGGACCCAGATAATAAAACATCAGAAATACAGAAAAAACAAAACATAATACACCTCACGGTAAAGAATGTGCCTGTCCACATCGCCAGCTACCGTCTGGGAGAGGACCTGGCTGGCCCACTTGTGCGAAGTGCTGGTGAGGATGCTGGGAAACTGGGCCTCTCGTACATTGTGCACGGGAAAGTCAAATGGTACAGACCCTCTGAAAATGGTCTGGCAGTTTCTTAAAAAACTAAGCCGTGGGTGCCTGGGTGGCTCAGTTGGTTAAGCGACTGCCTTCGGCTCAGGTCATGATCCTGGAGTCCCTGGATTGAGTCCCGCATCGGACTCCCTGCTCAGCGGGGAGTCTGCTTCTTCCTCTGATCCTCCCCCTCTCATGCTCTCTGTCTCCTATTCTCTCTCTCAGATAAATAAATAAAAAATCTTTAAAAATAAAAATAAATAAAAATAAAAATAAAGAAAATGAAAAGGCAAACCAGACAAGTAGAAAATATTCACAATACTGATCTCTGATAAAGAACTTGCATCCAGAATATAATAAAAAGTTATAAAAGAGGGGCGCCTGAGTGGCTCAGTCGTTAAGCATCTGCCTTCGGCTCAGGTCATGATCCCGGAGTTCCAGGATCGAGTCCCCGCATCGGGCTCCCTGCTCAGCAGGGAGTCTGCTTCTCCCTCTGACTGCCCCCCCCCACCCCCGCCGTGCTCTCTCTCTCAAATAAATAAATAAAATCTTGGAACGCTACATCAAAAACTAATGATGTAATGTATGGTGATTAACATGACATAATAATAAAAATAAATAAATAAAACCCCCCAAATAAATAAATAAAATCTTAAAAAAAAAAAGTAAGCTGACGTGTGACCTAGCAATGACACATTTATCCCAGAGAAATGGAAGCTTATGTCCACACAAAAACCTGTATATGAATATTCATAAGTTTATTTTGGAGTAGCCCCCCAAAAGCCAACCTCAAATTGGTCACATACTGTATGATTTCATTTATACATTCTTTTTTTTTTTTTTTAAAGATTTTATTTATTTGAGAGAGAGCGAGAGAGTGCACAGAAGCAGGGGCAGAGAGAGGAGAAGGGGCTGAGCAGGGAACCCGATGCGGGCTCGATCCCAGGACCCTGGGACCATGACCTGAGCCGAAGGCAGACACTTAGCCGACTGAGCCACCCAGGTGCCCCTCATTTATACATTCTTGAAATGACAAAATTAGAGAGATGGAGAAGAGGTTCCTGGTTGCCAGGGATTAGGGACAGGACTGGGAGTGGGCGGAAGGGGCGCCTGAGGGAAACCTTTCTGGTTCTGGAATAATTCTGTATCTTGCCTGGGGTGGCGGTTATGGGAATTTGTGGTGAAATGGCCCAGCACTACACACATTGTATCAAAGTCAGTTTCTTGGCCTTGATACTGTGCTGTGCTTATTTAAGATGTAACCACTGGGGGGGAGCTGGGTGAAGGGTACGTGGGCCCTCTGTCCTATTTTTGCAACTTCCTGTGAGTCTATAATCATTTTATTTTTTTTATTTTTTTTAAAGATTTTATTTATTTATTTGAGAGAGAGAGAATGAGAGAGAGAGAACACATGAGAGGGGATAGGGTCAGAGGACGAAGCAGACTCCCTGCCGAGCAGGGAGCCCGATGTGGGACTCGATCCAGGGACTCCAGGATCATGACCTGAGCCGAAGGCAGTCGCTCAACCAACTGAGCCACCCAGGCACCCCTATAATCATTTTAAAATGAAAAGTAAACAGATCTGAAAGAACTCTTAGCTCTAAGGGGTATGAAAACCCTTGGTGGGAACTCCCGCTGTGTTAGGTCGATGAGCAATCCCAGTGGCCTGGGGGAAAGGCGTGGGTCCTGGCTCGGTTTTTCCGCTGTGTCCTCGGATGAGACAGTCTCTGTTTTGTTCTTCCATCGACCAGGTCGCAGCCATGATTCGGCTGAGTGATGAGCTTTAGAGCGAATCAACCCTGTTAGCTTTAGAAAGGAAGAAATAAAGACCGAGGGTCCTTAGAAATAAGAAAGCTGATGGAATTTTAGGTATCCAACCAAAATGAGTCCTACCTGGCACCCTGTGAAGCGCTTCTGATGTTCATTGAAATAATTAGACACTTTTCTGTGCCCTGTGGCTGTATGCATGTATAAAATATAAAAGCATAGGGATAAAAACAGAAAGAGAATAAGCACACATGAATATGCTTTTACAGGAGTAGGATTAAGGGTGGGAGTTCCTCTTCTGCTTTTTAAACTATTTATGAGTTGTTTGTGGTATTTTTAGTTTACATTTTATTTTCTTTTAAAATGTATACTCTGAGATGTATTCTTCTCCCTTGTCCCCCAGCAACTATTTTTGTTAGCTTCTTGTGTATCCTTCCATATTTTCTTGATGTAAATCCAAGCAAGCCTGAATGAGATTCTTTTTTCCCCCTCATTCTACCATAAAAGTAGCATTCTAAACGCATTGTTTCTGCGCATTTTTTGTTGTTTTTTTCACTCAGCCATATAGGCGCATGGTACTTTTTCCCTAAACAAAGGGGAAAAACAAAGGAGCAAAGCGTTCTGCACTGAGAACTCACCTGGTTGGCCAAAGAAGTTTGCGCCACCTCCTTCCACTCCAGAGCATTCTCTCCACTCATTTTCTAGTGAAATGAAGGACTTACATCCTTTGCCATTTACCCAGCAAGCACGGCTCCCTATTCCAGGCAACTGCACAAGAATCTGTTCCCACATTGATTCACCGGTTTTGAGGACTAGATGTGAATAGGCTTCTACCAGCTGCTGGGAGCATGTACGGGCTGGGCACTTGTCACCACAACTGTGAGGGAGCTGAGAGGGGCCCTGGCTTGGGGGGCTGCCCTGTTCCGGTCAGGGTGCTGACCTCCCACGGCAGGCCTTGTCTGGGACTCTGCTCCCCCTCTTCTGAAAGCTGCAGGTGTCTGGGTGTGGCCAGACCCACATCCTGGAGACAGGACTGGGCTCCAGGGCCCTGAGGGTGGGATGTCATCAGGAACAGAGGATGGCCTGATGGTCGGGAAAGTAGCAGAAATGCCAAGCTGAACATCTTACCAGTGGTGACTGCCCTCAGCCTGGCTGAACTCGAGTCCTTTTCCTTCCTGAGCCTGGATGTGGCTCTTGGGAAAAGCTGGGGGGTTGGGGCGGGGGCAGGCTGAGTGCATCGAATTTGGCTCCCACCCTGAGATACATTATCTGTCCCTGGGGCAGAAGAACCAACAAATGGCCAACAAATGCTGGTGACTTGGTCCTGGAGCGTTAGGGCTGGAAAGAAGCCCTAGACCTCAGACACCCTGGGCCTCGGGGTCCCCACTCCTAGTCTGCTCCCTGTATCTGGTGGATGGCCACCTGCCAGGGCCTCAGTTTTCTCACAGCAAACGACTAAAATGCTCACCTTCCCTTTTGTCCTGGGTGCAGCAGAAAGAAATTAGCGTGGGTAGCAAACTCAGGTGTCCGTGGTGAGGAGGGAGCTAAGTGGGGGCGCAGCTGGGGAGAAAAGATTTTTTTTCGCTGGAACACGAAGCCCTCTTGGCTGAGCTTTGCTGTCTTTGCCTCGATGGAGCCAGGTATGGAAAGCATTTCCCCTTCCTCTTACCCCTGCTCCAGGAAGAACGGCAGGTCAAGTTGACTAGAGCGAGGCCCCCGTGGGCAGAGGGTGGGCGGCGTGAGGGCTGCGGGGATGGGGCTTCGGAGCCACGGCCCCACATCCCCACCTCCGAGGGGCAGCCGCTGGGAGCGCCGGCAGGTGGCTGCCAGGCAGGAAAACAAGCCTCGTGTCGCCAGAGCTCATTCTGCAGAAGTGGAAGCCATATTTTTATTGACGTTTCCTAATGTTGAAACGTTGGCAAGTGATTCACAAAACTGTAAAACGTCACGAGCCAATCAAAACAGGTCTGAGGGCCAGATTTCGGCCTCCGTCTGCCGGTTTGCTGACCTCAGGCCCAGACCTCTCGGGGCCCTGCGCTGTCTGCGGGAGCAGGTGCACATCCAGCCGGGCGCAGGTGCGGGTGGAGGCGGGGGGGTCCGTGGACCTGCGTCCGGAATTCCACTGGGAGACACTGACAGACTTCATTCTGAGGCAGCGATGCAGGAGGGGTTTCTGGAAGTTTGGCCCCCGTAGTTCCCGCTGTTTTGCAGGAACAGTGGGAAATCGCTGGCGTGCTCCGCAGTGACACTCAGTGACCCCAGCCAAACCAGTCACTTCTCTCTGGGCCTCCCTTTTATCATCTGTACCACGGAAGGGGGCCAACGGGGCACTCATCCAGATCAAACCTTTGTTGGCTCTCTAGGACCAGTTTTTTTTTTGGTGGGGAGGGAGGAGGAGTTTTCCTAACATGATATTAAAGTGCAACAATTTCACTCACAGTTTTAGGTGAGTCTCGAAGGCCACACTGCAGAAATATGATGGGAGCCTCCAGTGTAACATTTTTCGATTTTACATTTAAAATTTTCTAGTAGCCACATTAAGAAATGAAAAGAAATAGGTGAAATTAATTTCAGTAGTACATTTGATTTAATGCAATATAAAAGTATTATCAGTTTAACATGTAATCACTTTTATTTATTTATTTATTTTATTTTTAAAGATTTTATTTATTTATTCATGAGAGACAGAGAGAGAGAGAAGCAGGCTCCCCGCTGAGCCGGGAGCCCGATGTGGGACTCGATCCCAGGACCCTGGGATCATGACCTGAGCCGAAGGCAGACGCTTAACCATCTGAGCCACCCAGGCGCCCAACATGTAATCAATTTTAAAGCGAGTAGTAAGGTATTGTTTTATTATTGGAAGCCTAGGGCATGGTTTGCACCTACAGCGCATCTCCAGGGCTCCCTAACCACATGTGGCTCGTGGCCTCCACAATGCAGAGCAGAGCTCCGAAGCAAGAAGTGACAACTATTTCCACATTCCCAAGCGAGATGCCAGGTCCCCCAAGTGGGAATGAGAATTCTGCCTTTCACCTTGCGTGTACAAGCAGGGCATAGCTTCCTTTCCTCCCACCGAAATTCTCTTTCCACCGAAAAAATGTCTTCATAGTGAAGGGTGGCCATACTGTGTCCGGTTTACCCAGTATGCTCTGCTCTCCACCCCAGGCAACCTGACAGGTGTCTGTCTCCACCCCTCGCCCATCCGCTCTGGGCATGGTTCTGAGTAGGCAAGATCTGCATGGGAGAGACATAAGGAGGCTGCGGTGGGGTCATAGCTGACCTCGGCCTGTAGCCTTTGAGAGCCAGTGGGAACATCTCCTCTCTCCCTTATCCCCCCCTGAAGGAGCTGTAAGCGGGAGGAGGAGGAGAACCTTGAAGTCGGGAACAGAGAAGACAGGCTCCCAGCCTGCAGCAGCCTCAGGTGGGAGAGTGAACTTCAACTTGAAATGAGGTTTAGAAGTTTGGAATCCTAGATTATTTCACCAGACTGAGTTCACTCATTACTGAACTAAGACTATTTTGTTTCTAAAAGCAACCAGAGGATTTGTTTTAAAATATTCCAGCATAGGGGCGCCTGGGTGGCTCAGTTGGTTAAGCGACTGCCTTCGGCTCAGGTCATGATCCTGGAGTCCTGGGATCGAGTCCCACATCAGGCTCCCTGCTCAGCAGGGAGTCTGCTTCTCCCTCTGACCCTCCTCCCTCTCCTGCTCTCTGTCTCTCATTCTCTCTCTCGCAAATAAAAAAAAAATTAAAAAAAAAATATTCCAGCATAGGGGCGCCTGGTTGGTTGAGTGTCCCACTCTTGATTTTGGCTCAGGTCAGGATCTTGGGGTCGTGGGATCAGCACCGTGTCGGGCTCCCTGCTCAATGGGGAGTCTGCTTGGGATTCTCTCTCTCTCCCTCTGCCCCTCCCACTCGTGCTTGCTCTCTAAAATAAATGAATAAATAAATAAATTGTAAAAAAAAAAAATATTCCAGCACACGCAAAGTCTGGCAGAAATGCAAACTGGTAAGACAAGACTGTTCATAACTATTGAAGCTGGGTGACTGGTTACATGGGGTTCATTATAGCATTTTAAAAATTTTGGTTGTATGTGAAAATTTCCATAATAAAAGTTTTTAAATAGTGGCCAAAGGACTTTTTAAAAGGAGAGGCACAGAACCTGTCGGAGATTCACTTATGGGTAAAATTAGAGCTTGCCCCACAGGGCAGGTTTCAATGGGTAAGTTATGGGCAAAAACGGTAAAATAATAGAATTGTTTTCCGAACACGTCGCATGAGACCCACTTGTCCAATGCACTGTTTATTTTTTTCTCGGTGGTTGAATGTATACCTCCCATTCTCCAGCTATTGCTTCCCTCATTCTTTGGGGTGTGCCTTGTTGCTGGGACCCCCCGGTGCTCACCCCAGCAGGTTCTGGGCTCCCCAGCTTTTTTGGGTGATTTGATGACACAGTAGCTCCTTGCAAGAGACACCCAGATGGATGTTCCCGAAGCACAGAGGCCCTCGGAGCATGGAAGGACGACCTCTGTGCAGATATTGAGCATAACGGGGGCCATTAGTCCCCAAGGATCATTTGACATTTTGAAATGAACCCACGGTCTCTCATAAATAAGCCCGGACACTGAATAGGCCTGGGGCAGGGTGGCTGTAGCTGGGGGTTGGGAGGTCCCCACACTTCCGCGTCAAGTGCTGTGGGATGCATTGTACAATGTTTGAATGTGTGTAAAGCGAGCAGCGCGAGCTAAGGGGTCCTTGCTTGTCTCCCTGAGGCCTACTCTTTGGAACCATAGTCCTTGGCAGGCCCTGCTGGGCGGGTGGATGGTTTCAGTTACTATCCACGTTGATGACAAGCCTTTCCTGGCTCCTGTGCATGAACTTACCCATCAAGCCTGAGGCTTGGGTCAGTTTGGGCCCATCTGGCTGCCCTTTCTCAGACCCGGAAGGTGCGCCAGCCAGAAAAGCTATCATTCATGTTGAGTCCGTATCTTAAGGTCACAACTGAGGCCTCCACGAGCTTCTCTCCCTCTCCGAGAAATAAGCATTTCATATAGCTTTAACTTTTCCCTGTGAGTAATTAACTAATACATTTTGAAGACTTGCAGGGAGCTAGGCATCGTTCAGTCCTTGTGTGAATGACTGAATCCTCACTGCAAAAACCCTGTGAAGGGGGAATTATGGTTTCCCTGCTGCATACATAGATGAGAAACCAGAGGGGAGGTTCCCAGAGGTTGCTGCTAAGTGTGACCTGCCCAAGAACATCCAGTGAGCCAGTGTAACCAGGTTCAGCCCAGCAACCACTGCGTGATTCCTCCTCCCAGGGAGCGGCAGGGAAGCAGGCTCCTCGTGGGTACAAATCGAAAAAGGAAACAAATCAAAAAGTACCTGATTCATGGAAGGCTCTGGGGTGGGGTTCCCCGCTGAGGTCCTGGAAAAGTCCAGCAGCATCACACGTCTCAGGCCATGAGGCTACAGGACATTCCAGTACATCCATGGTGATCTGGGGCCCTCGTCAAGCAGGGGTTCTTGGGTGACCTCGAAGAATTGGTTATGAAGAATTTGTAATGAGGTCACATGTTCCTTGGACGTGCAGGAGCGTCATTTTCTGGGTGAAAGCTGCCCTCCACGCGGCTGGCTGTGCCCAGGACGTGTTTGGTGGTCCTGCAGAAGCTGTCTGAAGAAATGAACAGACAATGCCCAACACTTGGAGTTCACTCAGTGCTTTCCTTACACGATTCATTTCTCTCCCCATAACATGAGAGCAGTGCTGTAGACCCATCATAGAGATAGGAAGCAGCAGCTGTGGCAGCCAGATCTATTGCTTGGCAGCTCGGCCGGGACTCAACGCACACGTTCAAAATCAGATTTTCCAATTAAAAAAAAATGGAAAAGGAAAAGAGATGCCAATGGGATTTTAGGACAACTTCCCCTGTGTGTCTTAAGGATTTCTCTCCAGCCCAGGTCCTCTGGACTTTCTGGTCATACACTTCCACTCCCTTCCCTCCTCCCAGCCCTTGGTGCTGATTGTCAACAAAATACTTTATAGTCACTCACTTGGACAACGAGGGCAGAGTGCTGGCTGCACTCATCAGCAAGCCTAGGTTGAGAGCAGGTTTCAGGGTCCAGATTTCAAAAAATGTAGATCCTGCCAGGCTGGATGATGATTTAGGAAGAATTAAACTTGAATTTTCAATGCAGTACTTAGATCCATGACAGGGATATAGAACTCATTGAGCCTCCTTACTACAGGTTGAGGAAAGTGGAGAGCAGGTGGTGGGGCGGGGAGGGGGTGCGACCTGCCAGACACAGGATTGTCTTGGCCCCATTCAGCCACTGGGAACCCAGGGCAGTTAGAAGCCCCCTTCTGAGACACCCCTGCCTGCCCTTGTTTGATTTCTTAGAGCTCTTCTGTGGGTTCTTTTGCACCCCCCCCACCAGCTGTGTCTCTTTGGCCTCTGCCCCTTCCCTGCCACCCACTAGCCTGAACAGAAAGCTGGTCCTAACCAAGCGGCCTATAAGACTTTCCTGTGGACAAAGAGCTTCAGTACAAACCTTTGAGGCTTCCTTTGCTGACTTCCTGATGAGGACGAAGAAAGGCGGAATGGGCTTGTCCAAGGTCACACAGAGCCAAGCTGGAAACCCAAATTTTCCATTATGAGCCCAAAGTCTTTTCTGCTCCAGCCCTGAGAAGTAAGTCTCCCACCTTAACTCCTACTGCCCGTCGTGTCTTTAAGATACACGTGCCTGCGAGCATATTCACTTCCCAGGAATTCTTACATTTTTTTTTAAATTCATAAATATATATCTCCCCAACTGGACTCTAAGTCCTTTGAATCAACTCAGTATATTATAAACAAACAAACAAACAAACAAAAACAAGGCAAACAGGCAAAAAAGAAAAAAAAAAGAGGTGCAGTGTGTCCCTGGGTAGGATCTTATCCTTAAATCTCGGAATGCCTCGTCTACCTTGTTAGCCCCCAACTCCAACAAGTAGTGTGAGCTCTGTGGTAGGGTTTCTGTTTCCAGAAATGCTTCTCAGAGGTGCCTAATATGGACTCATCCATTGAGAGCTCCCCAAATCTGGAGAACGCTCATTTGTTTGCTTGTGTGGGGATGAAAAAAGAAAAAAATGTATACGGTTGACCTTTGAACAACGTAGGGTTTAGGGATGCAGTAAAAAATCCACGTATAACTTCTGACTCCCCCAAAACTTAACTACTAGGAGCCTACTGTTGACCGGAAGCTTTACAGACAACAGAAACAGTTGATGAACATACTTTGTATGTTACATGTAATATAGCCTCTATTCTTTTTTTTTTTTTTTAAAGATTTTATTTATTTATTTGAGAGGGAGAATGAGAGACAGAGAGCACGAGAGGGAAGAGGGTCAGAGGGAGAAGCAGACCCCCCGCTGAGGAGGGAGCCCGATGCGGGACTCGATCCCGGGACTCCAGGATCATGACCTGAGCTGAAGGCAGTCGCTCAACCAACTGAGCCACCCAGGCGCCCAATATAGCCTCTATTCTTACAACAAAGTAATCTAGAGAAAAGAAAACTATTATTAAGAAAATCATAAGGAAGAAAAAGTACATTGACAGTACAGCCCTGTATTTATTGGAAAAAATTTGCGTGTAAGTAGACTTCACAGCCCAAACATGTGTGGTTCAGGGGTCAATGCAAGTCATACACAGAGAAGGGAAACTGGTGGGTGTGTTTCATGTTTCACCCGGTTCAGTAATTGTTCTTGATACTCAAATTGTCCCATATTTGGCCAATTCTACTTGGCTCCTGTGCCTTTGATAGCTTCTTTTCCATCCCCTAGAACAAGATATTCTAGACTCATCTTGTACAATTCTCACCCCAGACATTTCTCCTTGAGACACTGGTTTCTTTCAGTGGGAAATGATACACTATCAAAATTTGGTTACTAAAACAGTTGAAAAGATTACTTTGTGTATCCGCTCATTCCATTCCATACCTTTCTCCTCTTCTTTTAGGAGCATTAATACATATGATACTCTCTCTCTTTTATACCCTTCATGCAGCTTTCCTTTTACACACACCCATACACACCCACACACCCCCCCCACACCCACACACACACGCACACGCACACAGACACACTGCTGTCATTTTAATTGTCTAAACTTCATTGTCTAGTAGTTTCCTAAGCAAGGGCTATGGAACCCACATTCCCTGCGTTTTTGCATGTTGTTGTTATAATATTTACATTTAAGAGCCAGCTTGGCTAGGTAAAAAAGTCCTTGGTTCTCATTTTCTTTCCTTGAGTATCTTAAATATCTCACCCATTTTCTTGTGGCATAAAATGTTGCTGTCAAAATGTTTTTGAACAATTGAATTTTCTTTTCCTTATGTGTTACTCGGTCTTTTTGCCTAGATGTCCAAAAGATGTTTCTCCTTTTTATTTTTAAAGTCCAATATTTTACTAGGCAATGGCTTGGTATTGGTCATTTGGGATCAATGAAATGGTATGTATGTCCTTTCAATTCCTTTCAGACTTCTTGTTTCCCCCAAATTTTTGGGAGAAATGTGTTACTATCTTCTAACTATAGTTATAAAATTGCTATTTTTTCTCTAAGTCATCAACATTTTGCTTTCTACATTTTTGAGGCTATTTTATTATGCACATATGAATTTAGATTTGCTAGATCTTTCTGGTGAATCAAAATTTTTATTGCCAGGAAATACCTCTTTGCCTCTAGTACTGCTTCTTGATTTTAAATCTATTTTTTCTTTTTAAGGATTTTATTTTTAAGCAATCTCTCCACCCCAAGTGGTGCTGGAACTCACAACCCCAAGATCAAGAGTTGCACACTCCACCGACTGAGCCATCTAAGCACCCTGAAATCTATTTTTCCCCCCGATATTAATGTCTACTCTGACATTCTTTAGGTTTTTGATTGCTGTCTTTTTCCCCGTACTTTAACTTTTAACCTTTCTCTCTCTTTTTATTTTAGGCATGTTTCTTGTAAGCAGCTTAGAATTGGGTTTTGTTTTTATCAAGCCAGCCTACCTTTTAATTGGAGTATTTAGTCTATTTACATTTTAATTTAATTACTAATTCACTTGGGCGTAAATGCTATTATTATTTTCTTTTTGTCCCAGTCTCAGTTTCCTTCTCTTTTCTTTCTTGCCTTCTTTAGTTCTTTTTAAATGATCTCATTATTAGTTGGTAGTTATAGTTTGGTAGTTATACTTTTTACAAAATATGGTTTTTAGCGGTCAAACTTGGAGATTATAATACTTTTTTGAGCTCTCAAGTTTCGAAAAGAGTTGATTACTTTTATCCCTTTTTTGGCAATATGAGCACCTTAGAAAAATCTTAATTCCATTTACTCATTTGGGATATATATGTTACTGCAGTTATGTGTGCCTGCCCAGTAGCCCGCGAAGCTTTCCAAAGCAAGACGCATCTCCCACCTGCCGTCCTCTGTGTATCAGCAAATGCACCCAGGCTCTGACCACCTGCCTTACCTACCTCAGCTTCTGCTCCCCATGAGATCTTGGTCCCGTTAAGTTTTCAGTCTCACGTTAGCTCTCTGATGCCTTTAATAACTTCTATATCGAATCCAGCTTTTCTAGTTGGCCTTGGTGCAAGCGCTGGTCTGGCTTACCTCGTCTGTCATTAATGGCAGTGGAAATTGCATGCTATTCACTACAGTCGCGGGGATGGAGCCCAACGAGCAGGTCTGCAGGCAGGTACTGTTGCTAGTAGAGTAGTCCGAATCCCATAGCTCTTTCGCATCGGCGCTGTCCGGGGAAGGTGACCCACAGACCCAGCTTGCGGCGCACTGAGGGCGGTGTGTGTGACAGCCAGCCCTGCGAGCTGGACATATTGCCTAGCTGTCTGGGTAAAGAGAATCCAGAAGGGCACCTGAGGTGGCCTGTGCTGTCCTGAGCAGATCTGGGATCAGTGCCCAGGGCCCAGGGCCATTGGGGCCTACCTAGCCTCTACAGGTCAACACGAGAATAGTCTCTTTGTTCCACTTTCACAAAGATGGATACAACAAGTGCTCAGGGCTGGTTCAACAGCCTGTAGTTCAAAAACTGGAGTCTGAGCCAAAGGTCAGAGTCGGCCCATCCTTGCCAGGGGCTGAGGAAAGGTGAGACAAGGCATTCCTGGAACTAGTTCATAGTCTTCTTACGAATCTGAACCAACTGCCATGGGGGGGGGGGGGGGTGCGGCGGCAGTGCGGGGCTCTGCATGACCTTCCCTGGCAAGGGCATGGTGTGGGGCCAGAATTTCCATGCTTGTACAATGCCATCCTCTTGCTGTTGTGGACTGAATTGCATCCCCCCAAATTCACATGTTGAAGTCCTAATCCCCAATCCCTCAGACTGTAACTGTAGTTGGGCATAGGGCTTTTAAAGATGTCCTTATGTTAAATGAGGTTGTACATGTGGTCTTTGATCCAGCAGGACTGGTGACCTTATTCGAGGAGGGAGAGACACCAGAGATGAGCATGGACAGAGAGAAGGCCACATGAGGACGCAGCTAGAAGGTGGCCATGGGCAAGCCAAGGAGAGAGGCCTCAGGGGAATCGAACCTGCCAACGCCTTGACCTCAGACTTGCAGCTTCTAGGACTGTAAGAAGATAAATTCCTGTGGTGTAGGCGCCCCCCATCTGTGGTGCTTTGTTATCAGCAGCCTGGGCACACAAATACACCTGGGGTGGGGTCAGACACTCTCAGGTGACAGAGGTGATGGACGGTTGATGGATGGTATGGACCCCCATCCTCCCTGGAAACACCCTCCACCCTACCTGGTCCTGAGGTATCCAGCTTTTGAAAAATCCCTTCCGAGTGCTTCGTTTGCTCCATTAGTGTCTGGGTCTGTTTGCCAGCCTTAGTCCATCTTCCTTTACCAACCACCCCCTTCCGAATGAAAGCATTCTAGCAGGTTTCTTCTCTGAAGGCAGAGAGCCCAGATCTCTGGGGTTTCCGTCCTGAGGGTTGCTGGCACCTGAGTTCTGGCTCAGGTGGAAGCACCAGAAGGACTGTGGATCGGATTTGCTCCCTAGGGGGGTTCCCACATCTCGGGGGGGGCGGGACACCTTGCCGCCTCATGGGCTGTTCATGACTTGCTGGAACCTACCATTTCTAAACCTCTTGCCCTGCTGTTTCTTGTTCTGTTCCTGTGAGTCGGGGCTCTCGGGGGTCTGAGAATGACCCAAACCAAGCTATGGTTCTTGCCTTCATGGCATGACAACGGAGACCTAACCTAGATGACCTGCAACCCACAGGTGAGTGAGGCCGGGGAGGATCTGAGCAGGCGGAATGGGTGATGAACCACCACTTCACTCCTGGCTGATGACCTTGCCTGCCTGCCTGCCTGCTCCAGGGTGGGGGTGGGGGGCCAGGCCGTGCGTGCGGGCACGTGTGTGTGTTCAAATCATATTTCCTTTTGTCCTTTAGGCATTGGCACAGACATGAAATTCACTTCTTACTTATTGACCACAAAGCACTAGAAACTAAGATTTCAGACACAAGTAAGGACACTAGTAATGAACAGTTTCTGCTTACACTCAGCTCCTAGCAAACATACAAGTGATAGGAGACCTCCCACGTGTTCCCTCTCTTTCCTAGTCCTAAACCCTGAGAGACTGCTCCAGCATCAACCTTCATTCTAGATAATTCTGGATATCTAATTTGAACACCAAAGTGATAATTTTAAAATCTGAGTCATGTATAAACCTCTCTTTAAAAAAAGAAAACCGGGGCACCTGGGAAGCATCTGAGTTCAGCTCAGGTCATGATATTGGGGTTCTGGGATCCAGCCTCATGGTGGGTTCCCCACTCAGCGGGGAGTTTGCTTCTCCCTCTGCCTCCCCCCACCCCTCCCTCGCTTGCGCTCTCTCTCTCAAATAAATAAAATCTTAAAAATAATAAAAAAATAAATTAAAAAAGGAAACCAAAAGTCTAATGATGACAAATTATTTTACTTATATTACTTAAATAACTATGCACACAACACTATTTAAGCTCTGTATGCTTAATAGCCCTTACATAACTCTAACCAAAACCAGTGTACAAATGAATTGCAGAAAGTCTCTACATCAATGAAACTCAAGGGAGCACGCTTTCCTGAATACGATCTGCCATGTTATTTTTCTGAACCGAACACTCAATATTGTGCTTAGTGACACCATCTGTGTGGTGTGATGAAGCAGTTACTCCGTGTCTTTCCTCCACTCGGAAAATTGCAAACATCCCACTTGCACAGAATACTGTGGTGATGTTCATGAATGAAGTCCTCCTTCCCATTCTTTTTAAAAATACTACGTGGCTCTAAAAAATCTCTAGAAACAGTTATGAGATGATCTCTTCATGTGATGTGGAGCATGTTTACATTAATTTTTAAGATTTTTGTTCAAATGAAAATTAAAATTCTCATAGAGGGGTCAGGGACCTCCGGAATATATCTGGCGCTTCTCAGGGTGTCTGCAG